ATATATTCATCAAGATGTATAAGGTTTATGTAGGAGAGTGATTTATCTTGCGAAAGTGCTTCCTTGAAAATTGAGATGTATGATAGGCACAAATAATTAGGGTAGGTAGGGTGACGGGAAAGAAACAACATCTATTTATTCGACCTAAACTCAATACGCACAAAAATTAGGGTTGGTATGGTTACCGGAAAGAAACTTGTTGTTTTGTTTTTTGTTTTGTTTTGCTTAAACTGCATGTTGCTCTAGAAACAGAAAACATAATCAGACAATCATTGGGGCCATGTCACCAGCAAATAGCAGTATCTAAATTTGGGCAAACTATTAGAAAGTGAATGTTCGTGATCTTGAGTATCTGATTCACAAAACTCTGACTAATTGTAGTTTACTCCATAGTGCGTCATGCCTGCTGTGGGTGAACCACATGACCGGACGGACGATCAGTTTAGTACTCGGCGTTACGTACATGCTTTACTGTGTATGATATCAAGTTGTATGTCTCATTATTAAAATCAGTGTTTGAACATCGACATGGAGCACATGCTGAGGGAAGCGTCAACAATGGTTCTCATATCACTGGTCCTTGTACTGGCCATGTTTACCTCTACTGTCAATTGTCGGGGTAGGTATAGTCATTAATTACCTTTAGTTCATGTAGTACTTGTCGGAGGTCAATATGTAGATCCGTCTTATTCCCAAACGATGATCCGCTCTACGATAAACAGACAGGATTGTTAAACGTTCTACTTTGAAACAGAATTTGTGTAGTGACATGCTAAAAGTCTGTGGTTAAAAAAAATAGTCGACATTTTATTTCAAAATCGTTGTTTAAATTAGCTATTGACATTTGGAACGCGGACAGACATTACGGTAAAGGTTTTACTCATAGCTAGGAACATTATTTCAAAGATATAGTACCACCGAATAATAACCGTCTCTATAAAATATACAGCATATTCGTTGCAATGCACCGTATCATATGAGGGAATCAATCTCGGTATCCTTAAATACGTCTTTTCCTCTTTCTTACAAGCGTTCTTCCTTATATCTCTCGATGATGATTCATCACTTATCCTGTCGCTATTTTATCAATATTTACATTTCTGTTACCAGAGACGGCATTAACTCTCCCTCGGGAAGTTTTCCCAGCGCACCCAATCATCAATATGTTTTTGGGGACATAAACTTGATACACTCATAGGACATACTGGTATTGTATGCAATTATCATGCAGCTATGCCCACGACGGCAATTTAACGTCGCAGTATTGTTTAATGTTTTACAAAAGTTGAATATATATTTGAAAGAATATACGCGTGTATCTATTTTTTTCTATTTCAAAACAGTCATATTCATAACCCTACACGAAATGTTCAACAGTGCTGCGCGTATGATATGCGGTACAGGGGGTTTCAACTGAATTTATTTATCTAAATTCCAGGGCTAACGTCATTCAGCGACAAATTTTTCGAATGTAGCTACAAATACCACTCAGACCGATTGCCAGAAATGGGCAAAGTGAAACTCAGAGAGATTGTTGGAACGACGTATAAAAAGTGTTACTTAGGATTGTCAGTTGAAATTGTAGAGTCACTGAGAGCGTCTGGTCGATGTGCACAATTGTAGCTTGGCTGTGAATTAGAGATGTACAAGTGTTACTTATATTGCCAGTAAGAAGTGTACACGTGTTACTTATATTGTCAGTAAGAAGTGTACACGTGTTACTTATATTGTCAGTAAGAAGTGTACACGAGTCACTTATATTGGCAGTAAGAAGTGTACACGTGTCACTTATATTGTCAGTAAGAAGTGAACAAGTGTTACTTATATTGCCAGTAAGAAGTGTACACGTGTCACTTATATTGTCAGTAAGAAGTGTACACGAGTCACTTATATTGTCGGTAAGAAGTGGACACGCGTCACTTATATTGTCAGTAAGAAGTGTACACGTGTTACTTATATTGTCAGTAAGAAGTGTTCACGAGTCACTTATATTGCCAGTAAGAAGTGTACACGAGTCACTTATATTGTCAGTAAGAAGTGTACACGTGTCATGCAGATTGTCGGTAAGAAGTGTACACGTGTTACTTATATTGTCAGTAAGAAGTGTACACGTGTCACGCAGATTGTCGGTAAGAAGTGTACACGTGTCACTTATATTGTCAGTAAGAAGTGAACAAGTGTTACTTATATTGCCAGTAAGAAGTGTACACGTGTCACTTATATTGTCGGTAAGAAGTGTACACGCGTCACTTATATTGTCAGTAAGAAGTGTACACGTGTCACGCAGATTGTCGGTAAGAAGTGTACACGCGTCACTTATATTGTCGGTAAGAAGTGTACACGTCTCACTTATATTGTCAATAAGAAGTGTACACGTGTTACTTATATTGTCAGTAAGAAGTGTACACGTGTCACTTATATTGTCGGTAAGAAGTGTACACGTCTAACTTATATTGTCAATAAGAAGTGTACACGTGTTACTTATATTGTCAGTAAGAAGTGTACACGTGGCACGCAGATTGTCGGTAAGAAGTTTACACGCGTCACTTATATTGTCGGTAAGAAGTGTACTCGTCTCACTTATATTGTCAATAAGAAGTGTACACGTGTTACTTATATTGTCAGTAAGAAGTCTACACGTGTCACTTATATTGTCAGTAAGAAGGGTACACGTGTCACTTATATTGTCAGTAAGAAGAGTTTATGTGTCACTTATATTGTCAGTAAGAAGTGTACATGCGTCACTTATATTGTCGGTAAGAAGTGTACACGTGTCACTTATATTGTCAGTAAGAAAAGTTTACGTGTCACTTATATTGCCAGTAAGAAGTGTACAAGTGTTACTTATATTTCCAGTAAGAAGTGTACACGTGTCACTTATATTGTCAGTAAGAAGTGTACAAGTGTCACGCAGATTGTCAGTAAGAAGTGTACACGTGTCACTTATATTGTCAGTAAGAAAAGTTTATGTGTCACTTATATTGCCAGTAAGAAGTGTACACGTGTTACTTATATTGTCAGTAAAACGTGTACACGTGTCACTTATATTGTCAGTAAGAAGTGTACACGTGTCTTATATATTTTCAGTAAGAAGTGTACAAGTGTTACTCAGATTGTCAATTAGGAGTGTACACATGTCACTTATATTGCCAGTAAGAAGTGTACAAGTGTCACTAAGATGTCAGTAAGATCCTGATCTTCCAATCATGAACTTTCCCGTTCTTGACAGTAACATCCATGTTGCTTTTGATTCGGTCGATATTCAATAGTTTGCGCAAATAGCATAATTTCATAACTTGATGACTTCATCATGATATTATAGATGTCGACTGCTGACTAACAAAGTTACAACACAGGGTTTCAAACAATCAAGATTGATGAAGACTACTGACAAGTGTTATGGCCGCCATCATGATCTAACAAGGAAATATGGTATTTCTTTTTGTGATCTGTAGGTCGATGTTGTTGATGAGTGTCGTTTTGCTGTCACTTTTCCAGTCCTCGCTTTATGGACATAACATATATTGGATTTGACCTAGATTTAACGTATGTCGCTGAGGAAGCGGAAGATGCTTACTCTCCTGGAACAACTGGTCTTACTTTTCTTGTATCCTTCAACGGTGTTAAATCTTGCCCAAGTCCAAGAAATCATTCCATACCGTATTGTCAGCGGGAACTAGTCGAAAACTAACATATAAATCCTCACATTTAATTCATTTAACGTATTCATATCTGATTTCGTATCATTTGCATGTTTCATCATAAAACGCACTGGTTGAGTTATTAATCGATTTTATTTAAACCTTAAAAAATGCTGCTGTTAAACTAAGTGCCTACACAAGATTCATATCCAAACTACGCTCAAGATTCAGCATGACCTGGTACAGCCTGCATGGCCTGGTACAGCCTGCATGACTTGGTACAACCTACATACAGTCAATTGCTGCATCATAGCCAAAAACCGCCCATTTTTTTCCGAACACTACCCTTAAGTATTTTTTTATATATATAAGGGGGGGGGGGGGATTTTGACTAATCACAGACGATTAAATGTATTGAGCTAATAAGGTTGTAAACTAAATAGTTATGTAATGTGATACAGGGGATAGACACAGGAGAGGCACATTGTACTTATAATAGTCACTGAACTTACGTTGTGTATTTCAATTTTAACGCATTCACCCCTAAAGTCACATTTGGACCGTACAAAATCAAATACTGGGCAAGTCCTGTTTAAAATGTAGGGGTGAATGAGTTAAATATTGTATACACGGGAACCTCTTCAGTACATCCGAGAACGCACTTTAGCATGGCCGGTACTTGTACCCTCTATATTGCTTGGCTAACCTTCCGAGGACTGGATATGGTGACTCAGTTCCTTTTAGACATGATTCAACAACCTCGGTCGATATATCCGCGAAGTCGTCCATGCTATCAATGTTGATACCACACACACAGTCTGCTCCGTGTCCCATTATACACAGTCTATAATATAGCTAGTTTACTTTTTATCAGTTTTCGTTGGAAACAGCGATCCGTCCTTCATTGTATTTGATCAATAAGGAGTCTGCTTAGACCATACCGAAGAGTCCATAAAGGCAGGGTCGACATTTCCAACACGGAAAGCTATCACAGCTGATTTCCGTAATTATATAATATTCCTTTTTCATACCAAACCCCTACGTTATAGCAGCTCTATGTCAAACAGTTCAAACAGACGACTACAAGCATTACAATATACCAGTAACATACCTAACATGGTTTGGTTTGGTTTTATTTTGTTTAACGTCCTATTAACAGCTTAGGTCATCTTTGAGGACGTGCCTCCGTGTGTGTTATGTATGCATTAATGGGTGTATGTATGCCGGAGACAGGGTATGTTGATTCCTTATGAAAGCGCGGATGTTATGCCGACATTTCGCACCCAGCACAGCATTCCGCCCGGTCACATTATACTGACAACGGGTGAACCAGTTGTGATTTCCCTTGATGCTGAACGTTAAGCAGGGAATAACAACTAACATTTTAAACGACTTTGGTATGTACCGGCCTGGGGACAGAACCCATTGCCTTCCTCACCTGGCCAAACGTTCATTATTAAACCCAAGGGTGAGGTATGCCAAGCAAGGCGCTAGGAAAAAGTAAAGGTAGTTAGAAGTAGAGAGAAATATAAGGATCCCAAATATCGCAATGGGTGCAGCAGATATATTTTGGTCACATATTAACATTTACAATATACTAATTACATACCTAGCATTTACAATATATAATACATAGAGGTTACACAAAGAGTGGTTGTTGAATATGGCTTTTATTTCACTCGAGTTAGTTAATTTTCAAAAGTTACAAAAGACATGAGCTATTTAGCAAGTGTCTTTCTGTAACTTTTGAAAATTAACTAACGAGAGTGAAATAAATACTATACTCAACAACCACGAGTGGTGTGATCTGTTTCTACCACAATCTCAGTCAGACACAGCTGGAGTGTGACCTGATTTGAATAACATACACACATGTGTCTGCTGACAAGGTTGGCGAAGTGACATTACCCATATGTAAAAAGTCACTCATTAATATTCAAAAATGACTTCATTTTTTTTTTACAAATTTTATAATTGTCAAATTATTTTTTTGGCAACAACTTCGAAAGAAAATAAATGGTAGATGAACGTCTTTAAGTATTGAGAGTATGCAGCATTGTATTAATTTATATAAATTAACCGCAGACTATATGCGCGTACGCAAATCGTACGAAGTCTGCTTCCCGCCAAGTGATGAAGACGAACTAATCGCTGTCAATGTCCAAAACCATAGGCCTGGGACGTTTCTTCGTGACGGTTCTATGGTTGACGTTTATAGTGAAAGTTCAGCCATAGTCAGACCCTCCAAATAGCGATAACGGTACGCTGGGAGAACATTTACAACATACAATATACCAGTTAATTACCAAGCATTTACAATATATAAGTTGCGTACCTCACAATCTATAGTTATTTACCAAACATTTACAATATACTAGTAACATACCGCACATTTACAATATACAATATACCTACCAGTTACATACCTCACATTTACAATACACAATATACCACTTACTTACCAAACATTTACAATATACCAGTTACATACCGAACATTTACAATATACCAGTTACATACCGAACATTTACAATATACGATATACCACTTACTTACCTAACATTTGAAATATAACAGTTACATACCTCACATTTACGGTATACAATATACCACTTACTTACCAAACATTTACAATATACCAGTTACATACCTCACATTTACAATATACAATATGCCACTTACTTACCAAACATTTGCAATATACCAGTTACATACCAAACATTTACAATATACCAGTTACATACCGAACATTTACAATATACCAGTTACATACCTCACATTTACAATATGCAATATACCACTTACTTACCAAACATTTACAATATGCCACTTACTTACCTAACATTTACATTATACCAGTTACATACCTCACATTTACAATATACAATATGCCACTTACTTACCTAACATTTAAAACATAACAGTTACATACCGAACATTTACAATATACAATATACCACTTACTTACCAAACATTTACAATATACCAGTTACATACCAAACATTTACAATATACCAGTTACATACCTCACATTTACGATATATAATATACCACTTACTTACCAAACATTTACAATATACCAGTTACATACCAAACATTTACAATATACCAGTTACATACCTCACATTTACGATAGACAATATACCACTTACTTACCAAACATTTAAAATATACCAGTTACATACCTCACATTTACAATATAAAAGTTATACATGGAACTCCTACATCATGCTATCTTTATATTTTTCAGGATATTCAAAGTGTGCTAACGTTAAAGCGAATGATCCCTACCAAGTGGTATTTAAAAACAACCGATGCTACCACATGGTACAGGATTCAATCTCCTGGAACGACGCTGCCTCCGCGTGTCGGGCCAGGAATGGAACACTGGCTATAATCCGAAACTCGGAAACAAATAACAAAATTAGTCAGAGGGCTACTAGTCTGGATTCTAACGACAGAGCGAATGTGTCGTTTTACTGGATAGGAGGAAAAGTACAAACCGCTGAAGCCGCAATCACGTGGGAGCGAGGTGAGTTACCAATTATACATGGTGAAAACAGTGTTAATTAATGTATCCCGTTATCCAGCTCTGTGAGGTAAAGCATGTACGCGACCGTCTCCTTATGTTATCGTAGATACCATTGGTCAATGTTTTCTTGCTACCAACGATGTGAGTTTTGTGGATAATCAGGTTCCTCCTTTCCTTACATGTTGATCGTATGATTGTTTATTATGCATGGAATACCTTAATTGAAAACGTACAAACTGTTTCAGATATAAATGGAGTTGCAATCGTTAACCCTTTCACTGCATACGCTTTGAATGAGCCCCTAAGTTCTGGCGATAGAGGCTGTCTACTTTTGGATCCAGGGGAAAAGAGCTGGGCAACCGATTTCTGTCAGGTCGCCATGGAACTAACAGGATATGTGTGTGAATACAAACCAAATGGTACGTAGTGACTGAATACATAGTAAATGGTACGTAGTGACTGAATACATAGTAAATGGTACGTAATGACTGAATACCTAGTTAATGGTACGTTATGACTGAATACATAGTAAATGGTACGTAGTGACTGAATACATAGTAAATCTACATAGTGACTGAATACCTAGTAAATGGTACGTAGTGACTGAATACATAGTAAATGGTACGTAGTGACTGAACACATAGTAAATGGTACGTAGTGACTGAATACATAGTAAATGGTACGTAGTGACTGAATACATAGTAAATGGTACGTAGTGACTGAATACATAGTAAATGGTACGTAGTGACTGAATACATAGTAAATGGTACGTAGTGACTGAATACATAGTAAATGGTACGTAGTGACTGAATACATAGTAAATGGTACGTAGTGACTGAATACATAGTAAATGGTACGTAGTGACTGAATACATAGTAAATGGTACGTAGTGACTGAATACATAGTAAATGGTACGTAGTGACTGAATACATAGTAAATGGTACGTAGTGACTGAATACATAGTAAATGGTACGTAGTGACTGAATACATAGTAAATGGTACGTAGTGACTGAATACATAGTAAATGGTACGTAGTGACTGAATACATAGTAAATGGTACGTAGTGACTGAATACATAGTAAATGGTACGTAGTGACTGAATACATAGTAAATGGTACGTAGTGACTGAATACATAGTAAATGGTACGTAGTGACTGAATACATAGTAAATGGTACGTAGTGACTGAATACATAGTAAATGGTACGTAGTGACTGAATACATAGTAAATGGTACGTAGTGACTGAATACATAGTAAATGGTACGTAGTGACTGAATACATAGTAAATGGTACGTAGTGACTGAATACATAGTAAATGGTACGTAGTGACTGAATACATAGTAAATGGTACGTAGTGACTGAATACATAGTAAATGGTACGTAGTGACTGAATACATAGTAAATGGTACGTAGTGACTGAATACATAGTAAATGGTACGTAGTGACTGAATACATAGTAAATGGTACGTAGTGACTGAATACATAGTAAATGGTACGTAGTGACTGAATACATAGTAAATGGTACGTAGTGACTGAATACATAGTAAATGGTACGTAGTGACTGAATACATAGTAAATGGTACGTAGTGACTGAATACATAGTAAATGGTACGTAGTGACTGAATACATAGTAAATGGTACGTAGTGACTGAATACATAGTAAATGGTACGTAGTGACTGAATACATAGTAAATGGTACGTAGTGACTGAATACATAGTAAATGGTACGTAGTGACTGAATACATAGTAAATGGTACGTAGTGACTGAATACATAGTAAATGGTACGTAGTGACTGAATACATAGTAAATGGTACGTAGTGACTGAATACATAGTAAATGGTACGTAGTGACTGAATACATAGTAAATGGTACGTAGTGACTGAATACATAGTAAATGGTACGTAGTGACTGAATACATAGTAAATGGTACGTAGTGACTGAATACATAGTAAATGGTACGTAGTGACTGAATACATAGTAAATGGTACGTAGTGACTGAATACATAGTAAATGGTACGTAGTGACTGAATACATAGTAAATGGTACGTAGTGACTGAATACATAGTAAATGGTACGTAGTGACTGAATACATAGTAAATGGTACGTAGTGACTGAATACATAGTAAATGGTACGTAGTGACTGAATACATAGTAAATGGTACGTAGTGACTGAATACATAGTAAATGGTACGTAGTGACTGAATACATAGTAAATGGTACGTAGTGACTGAATACATAGTAAATGGTACGTAGTGACTGAATACATAGTAAATGGTACGTAGTGACTGAATACATAGTAAATGGTACGTAGTGACTGAATACATAGTAAATGGTACGTAGTGACTGAATACATAGTAAATGGTACGTAGTGACTGAATACATAGTAAATGGTACGTAGTGACTGAATACATAGTAAATGGTACGTAGTGACTGAATACATAGTAAATGGTACGTAGTGACTGAATACATAGTAAATGGTACGTAGTGACTGAATACATAGTAAATGGTACGTAGTGACTGAATACATAGTAAATGGTACGTAGTGACTGAATACATAGTAAATGGTACGTAGTGACTGAATACATAGTAAATGGTACGTAGTGACTGAATACATAGTAAATGGTACGTAGTGACTGAATACATAGTAAATGGTACGTAGTGACTGAATACATAGTAAATGGTACGTAGTGACTGAATACATAGTAAATGGTACGTAGTGACTGAATACATAGTAAATGGTACGTAGTGACTGAATACATAGTAAATGGTACGTAGTGACTGAATACATAGTAAATGGTACGTAGTGACTGAATACATAGTAAATGGTACGTAGTGACTGAATACATAGTAAATGGTACGTAGTGACTGAATACATAGTAAATGGTACGTAGTGACTGAATACATAGTAAATGGTACGTAGTGACTGAATACATAGTAAATGGTACGTAGTGACTGAATACATAGTAAATGGTACGTAGTGACTGAATACATAGTAAATGGTACGTAGTGACTGAATACATAGTAAATGGTACGTAGTGACTGAATACATAGTAAATGGTACGTAGTGACTGAATACATAGTAAATGGTACGTAGTGACTGAATACATAGTAAATGGTACGTAGTGACTGAATACATAGTAAATGGTACGTAGTGACTGAATACATAGTAAATGGTACGTAGTGACTGAATACATAGTAAATGGTACGTAGTGACTGAATACATAGTAAATGGTACGTAGTGACTGAATACATAGTAAATGGTACGTAGTGACTGAATACATAGTAAATGGTACGTAGTGACTGAATACATAGTAAATGGTACGTAGTGACTGAATACATAGTAAATGGTACGTAGTGACTGAATACATAGTAAATGGTACGTAGTGACTGAATACATAGTAAATGGTACGTAGTGACTGAATACATAGTAAATGGTACGTAGTGACTGAATACATAGTAAATGGTACGTAGTGACTGAATACATAGTAAATGGTACGTAGTGACTGAATACATAGTAAATGGTACGTAGTGACTGAATACATAGTAAATGGTACGTAGTGACTGAATACATAGTAAATGGTACGTAGTGACTGAATACATAGTAAATGGTACGTAGTGACTGAATACATAGTAAATGGTACGTAGTGACTGAATACATAGTAAATGGTACGTAGTGACTGAATACATAGTAAATGGTACGTAGTGACTGAATACATAGTAAATGGTACGTAGTGACTGAATACATAGTAAATGGTACGTAGTGACTGAATACATAGTAAATGGTACGTAGTGACTGAATACATAGTAAATGGTACGTAGTGACTGAATACATAGTAAATGGTACGTAGTGACTGAATACATAGTAAATGGTACGTAGTGACTGAATACATAGTAAATGGTACGTAGTGACTGAATACATAGTAAATGGTACGTAGTGACTGAATACATAGTAAATGGTACGTAGTGACTGAATACATAGTAAATGGTACGTAGTGACTGAATACATAGTAAATGGTACGTAGTGACTGAATACATAGTAAATGGTACGTAGTGACTGAATACATAGTAAATGGTACGTAGTGACTGAATACATAGTAAATGGTACGTAGTGACTGAATACATAGTAAATGGTACGTAGTGACTGAATACATAGTAAATGGTACGTAGTGACTGAATACATAGTAAATGGTACGTAGTGACTGAATACATAGTAAATGGTACGTAGTGACTGAATACATAGTAAATGGTACGTAGTGACTGAATACATAGTAAATGGTACGTAGTGACTGAATACATAGTAAATGGTACGTAGTGACTGAATACATAGTAAATGGTACGTAGTGACTGAATACATAGTAAATGGTACGTAGTGACTGAATACATAGTAAATGGTACGTAGTGACTGAATACATAGTAAATGGTACGTAGTGACTGAATACATAGTAAATGGTACGTAGTGACTGAATACATAGTAAATGGTACGTAGTGACTGAATACATAGTAAATGGTACGTAGTGACTGAATACATAGTAAATGGTACGTAGTGACTGAATACATAGTAAATGGTACGTAGTGACTGAATACATAGTAAATGGTACGTAGTGACTGAATACATAGTAAATGGTACGTAGTGACTGAATACATAGTAAATGGTACGTAGTGACTGAATACATAGTAAATGGTACGTAGTGACTGAATACATAGTAAATGGTACGTAGTGACTGAATACATAGTAAATGGTACGTAGTGACTGAATACATAGTAAATGGTACGTAGTGACTGAATACATAGTAAATGGTACGTAGTGACTGAATACATAGTAAATGGTACGTAGTGACTGAATACATAGTAAATGGTACGTAGTGACTGAATACATAGTAAATGGTACGTAGTGACTGAATACATAGTAAATGGTACGTAGTGACTGAATACATAGTAAATGGTACGTAGTGACTGAATACATAGTAAATGGTACGTAGTGACTGAATACATAGTAAATGGTACGTAGTGACTGAATACATAGTAAATGGTACGTAGTGACTGAATACATAGTAAATGGTACGTAGTGACTGAATACATAGTAAATGGTACGTAGTGACTGAATACATAGTAAATGGTACGTAGTGACTGAATACATAGTAAATGGTACGTAGTGACTGAATACATAGTAAATGGTACGTAGTGACTGAATACATAGTAAATGGTACGTAGTGACTGAATACATAGTAAATGGTACGTAGTGACTGAATACATAGTAAATGGTACGTAGTGACTGAATACATAGTAAATGGTACGTAGTGACTGAATACATAGTAAATGGTACGTAGTGACTGAATACATAGTAAATGGTACGTAGTGACTGAATACATAGTAAATGGTACGTAGTGACTGAATACATAGTAAATGGTACGTAGTGACTGAATGCATGGTAAATGGTGCGTAGTGACTGAACACATAGTAAATGGTGCGTAGTGACTGAACACATAGTAAATGGTACGTAGTGACTGAATACATAGTAAATGGTACGTAGTGACTGAATACGTAGTAAATGGTACGTAGTGACTGAATGCATGGTAAATGGCGCGTCGTGACTGAACACATAGTAAATGGTGCGTAGTGACTGAACACATAGGAAATGGTGCGTAGTGACTGAACACATAGTAAATACATAGTAAATGGTATGTAGTGACTGAACACATAGTAAATGGTATGTAGTGACTGAACACATAGTAATTGGTACGTAGTGACTGAATACATGGTAAATGGTGCGTAGTGACTGAATACATAGTAAATGGTACGTAGTGACTGAATACGTAGTAAATGGTACGTTATGAATTTTGAAAATGATATAATGAAGAAAATTCATCAATATTTCTACATTTGTGCTACATAACTTCTATATAAGCTGCTTCAGTCTGTAATAGTTTCTGTATAATCACCTGTTCCGTATTAGTTACTCTATAATTACCTACATAAGGAATCGTTTCTGGAGAATCACCACTACATTATTAATACTTTTTGTATAGTAATGTACATAGTTAATAACTCCTGTTTAATCACTTATATAATAATAACTTCTATATCATCACCTACATAATTGATAGTTTCTATAGTTTCTAAATAATATCTGATCTTTGTTAAATATGTGTCCAAGTTATTTTTTTATTTTTATTTTATCTATTACAGGTTCGGAGTCTAATTTACGAGCAGGTAAGCATCTTGTATAACGAGGCCCTAATTACAGAATCTCGTAGTAACGGTACTGACCTACTGGTCATACTAGTATCATAGTATTCCTATGACCAGTATACCTGTATAACGAGGCCCTAATTACAGGATCCTCTAGTAATGGTACTGACATACTGGTCACAATAGTATTCATATGACCAGTAGACCGGTAGGTAAGTAGTAGGCTCGAAAACGGAACTCATGTTTACAAAATAAGCTCAAGGATTGTCTTATGTAAGCATTTTATTGTTGATATAGAGGCTTACAGACTTAGCCAATCATGTTTCCTATGAGCAGGGGTTAGGGCATTATTCGCCTCTTACAAAATGGAGTTGGATACAGCAGGCACATTAATTCCCCTATCTTTCACCTGGTCATGTCACTAACCGACATGCTATATGAACTGTTTGCTTTACCATAGATTACACTTGATGATGTGGGCATATAACATACTTATTCTACATAGCCGCTATAAATAACCCGCTGCAGGTTCGGGGAAAGAATAAGGCTTGCTGTATTTAACTGCATGTTATCTTATAGAGTAACTCCGGTGGTGTCCCCACCATAATTTGCTGTCTTAGATATGTTTGTTAGTGTTTAACGTCATCGCAACAGCTAGGGTCATATGAAGACGGGTGCCTACGGAGACACCGCTTGAAACATAAATTACATAGAAAAGAAAGAAGACAGGAAAGATAGGAAACGAAAAAGATCTCAAGTGTTGCAATCGGGGCAGCAGATCGATTTTGTCCTCTTTATAGAAGACAAGAAAGAAACCACCCCGACTCTGCAGGGGCCACTACAGTAGTCGCCTCTTACGATCATGCAGTGGGATAAGCAGGGCTATTCTTTCCCCGAACCCTGCACGGGTTTACCGTGTAAAAGGAATTTTAAAAGACTAATATATATCTACTACACACTTGCAACACTTGAGATCATTTATTTATAGATCTTTATTTTCAGCGGGTTCTCCATAGGAAACCCCTCACATGTCTCAAGCTGTTTCAAAGACGTTAAACCCTGAACAAAGCAAATATATGTTTGGTTTGGTTTAGTATTGTTTATTACCCATCAACAGCTATGGTCATTTAAGGACGGCCTCCTCTGTGCGCAAGATGCTTGCGTGTAGTGTGTGCATGGGAGTTTTGGGAGGCTGCGATATGTTCGTGTTTGTCTCCTTGTGATAGCGCCGAACTGATGCAAATATACGCCTCAGGTATAAAATGCTCAATACAACGTTACCGAATGACATATAAGGGAGGACAATGCTTGTTGACGTGACAAAAATAAACACATATGGCATAGAGAGGTTATCCAGTGTTCGTACTATCGTCCTGATGTGTAGGAATACAATGATTTACATTCCTCGGTTATATTACAGCTAAGCCTCAGCACCGACCCCTTCGTTATTCCGCTTCTTTCGATAGTTATTTGACTTTTCTCTCAAACAGTCCTCAAGGATGGCTCAGATTTTCTTTAAAAAAAACTTCTTGTATTAAACACAAAACGGAGTACATGCATTACTTATGGTTTAACAAAATGATATAGTCACCACATTTTTGAGCCCAAAGAAAAGATCGAAGATAATCAATAAAACAGCAGAAATCAATCATGTGATTGGGATATAATGAAGCTGTTCGACTGGTACATAGTGACGTTTACCTAGTCTTTAACAAAGCATTGAGACTGATGTCTTCATAAAATTTAGTAACTGACATAAAAACATGTCAATTAACTTGTGCGACCCTATTGAATGCAACAAACTGGAATATTATCATATAGAAGACAAACACAATGAAATGAAGTTAAAGTAAATTTATTATTTTCTAGAAATTGGCTAGTATTGGCCATGGCTTCAACAGCTAGAATTAAAAGGAAACTGGGAACAGAAAATTCCAATAATAAAAGCTGTTTGGTATATTCAAAATTAAATTGAGAGAGACCGCATTCTGTTGTCTCAAGTGAAAACCTGCCCTGCATTAGGTCTAGGTAGATGAAGCCATGACGAAGCGAGAACGGGTTGTCATAGTCTCCGACTGAAACATATAATCAGAAAAACAACAGCAGAAACTGGAAACCAAACTTGACAGGATCAAAAATATATGTGATGGGATGGGAAGGGTGGGATTTGGAAAAGTAAACAGTAAATTATGAACAATCCAATCCTTTGCTTTAAATGTATGGCTACTAGTTCCTATCTCCAAAGCTGAAGATTTCTCAAGGAGCAAAGTAGACGAAAAGGTCCAAGGGAGGTAACTCCTATACAAATTCTGAGACTTTCGACTAGAATAACGGTCCTCATAAGATAACCGGAATTAATTTGATATGATTAATTCCCATTATCTATTTTATGTGCATTTAGCCAGGCCCTGAGGAACTTGAAGCATTATTATAGCTTCAAACAAAAACGGGTGTAGGTTTGGGAACTGCTATGTCACTGATATATTAACGCAACATCAATAGTCTGTTATCGTGTCAACTATATATATATATGTGTGTGTCCTTTTGTAAAATCTATTGTAATAATAAAAAGATATACATATTAAAAACACTGTAGCACTTTTCATCGGCAGTGTTTTTTAACATGTCCAGGTCATTTATAACATCACCGAATATTGTGAAAAAGGCACATCCCTAAAAGTTCATTCTAGGTCACTTAGCCTTCAGTTTCCTATTTGTGATGTTTTGCTATGATTTAAGTGATGATTTTTAAAACAACATTTCATTCCTCAGCAGCAGATTTTCATGTGTATATATACATAAATCTTACTGAGGTACATATAGAGTAAACATAATGTGATGATGTTTTCAGTAACGGTTTAAATACGACTTATCAGAGGGTTGAAATTAAGGCTGACAAACAATTTCTAGAGGGATTGTTGATCCTTAATTGTTATATTCTTTTTCTTTGTAGGGATGTCAAAGCTGCTGGTCACATTTTTACTGACTGTCGTTCTTGGTCATATGGTATGACATGGAGGTTCTGGCCACGTGGATTGACATAGGTGTTCACGGTGACTACATTAGCACACTCCCGAGACACGTTTCATTCTGCCATCAACATTAAACAGAGCGTTCTGTTTACCCGTTTATGGTTTTGTATGTTTACGCTGAATTTTTCTAATACTGGTCTTTCACCAGGTGGTGGTTAATACAGAAAGTGCATCAATGCTTTGTATTGAACAAAAAAATTCCTCTTAAGGTAGCTTCCATATGAACTGTTATGGGTTTTCTGCTGTAAAACAGGACAGATTGGAGAATTGTACATATCACTTTTCCAGGTCTTAATAGCATATTGTAAGTTTCAATTGATATAGTTCCAGATTCATTTGAAATTTGTAAATTACTGCGTTTAGTTCAAATATATCATAGATCGATTTTTATTATACACAAGATTTTACAATTTATACATGACATGCTTTCTGAGGTGTAAGTACAAATTTACATATTTAAAAAATACACATTGAATTTTATAAAAACAGATATCACACGTTAAATGGTCAACATTCAATGTCATGGTTTATTACGAGCTGGGAGGATGTCCTTTAATAATTGCACCTACAAGCAAATTTCGTATACTAAATTATGAATATTTTATAACTCTATTTTGAAAACGGTTAAATTATCAAACAGATATATGTTTTCTATTGGATAAGCTATGTCGATATAGGCGTTGTAGTGTTGGTTTAGGTGATATATTTTCAACTCAATACTGTGTTAATTGTTATGTTTTACTTTTGATTAATCAGTATTTGTTTTCATTCACTAGATATTTTAAATATTGTAATTTTGTATGTAGTGTGATAGGGTTATCGGCACTATGTTGAGATATATACATTCGAGTGTGCCCTATTAGGATTATACTAAAGTGAGATAAAGAGAAATGTATTACCAGAAAGAAGTTTCGGTATGTAAAACAGTACAGCTTTAAACGTATCAATTATTGAATATAGTAGACGATTGTGTATGTGATGTTACCAATTTGAGAAAATATTAACTGTCGTCCATTCTTCACCGCACTGAGTTCAGTGCTCCATATACCATAACACGTATCTGATCTTTGTATACATGCTGTAAGGCTTAACTTAATAAAGTAATGGAACTTATCATTTTCGTCGGAGTGAATCATTGCGACCCACAAATAATTGATGCTGTTGTCTAGGTTTAACGTCCTATCAACAGCTATCGTTGGAAACAGGGAATGTTGGTGTATTATCCTCCTAATTGCGTGGAGCAGATGCCGACTTTAAAGTTTTACCTCACTGAAATAACATGTCGAGGACATCCTGCGCAGCATTCCGCCCGGAAACAACCAAAGATACCACATTATTGCAATAGGTGCAGCAGATTTGACATTGTGACAGCTGGGTACTTGTTTTGTCCTATCCTATCTTTATTTTAATATCTGTTCTCGATTTTTTTTATACTTCATAACACCTCCTTTGATATCCTCGTTCACCTATTTGAGGTTAACAACGGGTTCTGTCTGTCGGGATTAGAACCTACCCCTAACCCTAACCCTAGACCGAAATATTCAAAAAAAATCTTAAGATGGTTATTGATAGCATTTAGAGTAAGCACAACAATCGGTTTACCCGTCGTCAGGATAATGTTAACTGGTCGAGTACTATACTTGGTAACTTGAGCATGGTATTTCAGTGAAGTAACGGGATTAATAAAGGCATGAAAATACACACAAAGAGCCAAGTCCTCAAATAATCGTAGATGTTGATAAGACTAAATAAAACCAATTCTTTGCTATGCTAAAAACGCTTTTATTATTTTCAAATAGTCCTCTTTCATATGTTTATTGCCTCATTCACGCAATAACAATTCAGTTTTAATGGATGTTCTTTCCAGAATATATTTTTGACAAATTACATGAAATTATCACAAGATATGATACGAAAAAAGCACCAATTAGAAAGTTTTGTTTGTAAATGTAGAATGCCAAACAAAATAATATCTTAAGGATCTGCACTTTTGGAAAGTCAAAACTTTCTACTGACTAACTTTTTGAACCATGCCTTATTTTAAAGAGGAGAATGAGCAAAAATAAAAACTACAAAGAAATTGATATGTCCTTAGACTCGGGCTTTTTTAAACTATGTTTTAAATTTGTTTTGCTAAGGCCGGTCAAACATACTGAATTTACGTAATATGTGATTTTTTTATGAAATTTATTATTTTGATCGTAAGCAGAACAAACTCATACAATATCTTCTAATTGTGCTTTCTAAAATCTATGACAGTTTGCAAATTGATAAAAACAGTATGTTTCAGCTGATATACATGAGTAATTACCAATAAAGTGTCAGTTCCCAGTATATTGAATATTTCAATCTTGTACAGTATTAATCAATTTGCTACAATTGAAAAAGGCGGCGCAATGACAATTTAAGTGACAAAGCAAGTGTCAGAAAAGATGAGCTTTGACGTTGGATGGAGCGTAAGAAATTCACATTCTCAAAATTGCTGCTACTTTTCATTTTTTTTTTAACTTGTAAAAATTGTTCTGCAAAACAACAGGTATGTAGTTTTTTGATAATGTTTTCAAATATAAGTTTGCTTTTAAATTGATCATAATTTGTTACATGTAATAAAATCCGGTTGTACTATATCAAACGAGATTTGAATGTGATTTAAACCTCAGAAGAGCATATCCTTAACTGCATCAATTGATCATTTCGTTCATTTCGGTTTGGTTTGGTTTAATACTGTTTAACGTCTTATTAACAGTTGATTAAGGACTTATACGCTACAGTAAAGATAAAAGAATAGTGGAAATCTGTTTGAAGTGTTCGGAAGCATATGTAGACTACATAAAAAAGGGAAAGGTACATACAAAACTCTTGCAGCATTTCAACTTTGGCTGCAACAAATAACTTATACAGAACCTAGTATTTTATGAAAACCGTGCAAGAATATATTCCAGCTCCAAGGCTAGGACGAACCTAGAGAACAGATGGTCCCTCGTTCTAGAATAAGCCGATACTTCCCCAGTTTTACTCCGCTGTATTTTTGTCAGCTTTTATAAACCGAATATTTTTCTGGTCGAGCGAATCTAGGGGCTACTATAATACCTCGAGTCAGAGGTTCTGACTACTAGTTTACACTCGCTCTGTTCTTTATAGTGCTGGACGAGTCCAAATGTTAACGTAGGGTGATACTGACAGCAAACTCTTATTTCTAAAGCACCTTTTCCTTGATACAATCTTCATTCGATTATAAGAAAGAAGAGAAAACGGCACAAACAACTCACTTGAGTGACATTAAACTTAACGAGAACGTTGTACCCACAAATTATGTCATAAAGATAGATTTAATTTCATTTAATTTTATTCTTAGATCAATAAATTATGGTTATACTGTATCTGAACTATCAGAAACACAGAAACAAGGAATTATAACGTGCATCCCAAAAGGAGATAAACCTCGTAACAGATTAAAAAACTGGAGACCAATTACCCTTCTAAATAATATTTATAAAATGGCATCTGGTGCAATAGCTGAACGATTAAAAACAATGTTACCAAATTGATAAGTAATAACCAAACTGACTTTATTCCTGGTAGATACATAGGTGAAAATACTCGTTTGATATATGATGTTATACAATATACAGAAGACTGTGATATTCCTGGACTTATACTTCTCATTGATTTTGAAAAAAGCCTTCGATTCTGTTTCTTGGAACTTTTTAGCAAAAACCCTAAAACATTTCAAATTTTGCCCAACTATAATTAATTGGATAAAACTGTTTCAATAAAATATTCACTCAGCAGTAAACATAGGGGGAAACTTTTTCCAGTATATAACGTGGCTGTCGTCATGGAGATCCTGCATCTTCTTATATTTTTATTTTATGTACAGAAATGTTATCGAAACTTTTAAGAAATAACAATAACATCAAGGGGATATTTGTACTGGATAATGATTTTTTTTTATCACAATTTGCAGATGATACATCTGTTATTTCAGATGGTTCTAAAAGGTCTCTGGGTGAAACTTTAAAAGATCTCTCTTTGTGGTATAATATCTAAATTACTTGATCCCGAATTCCAAAACCTAATCATTAATTATGATGTTATAATTTGTGCGGAAACAAAAATTGATGAATATGATGAACTGAATCTACCAAATGGTTATGTATCCTTTTCAAAATACAGAACTAAATTTAAACGTAAATCTGGAGGTATAACTGTTATCTTTAAGAAATGCTTATCCAATTACGTACGTTTTCATAAAACACAGTCTGAATATGTTCTGTGGCTTGAAATATCTAAAGACCTGTCTCTCCTAAATGAGAATATACTTACAGGTTGTGTATATATCCCTCCTGAGAATTCAAAGTATTCCTCAGACAGCGCATTCACAGAAATTGAGGATGAGTTGATTATGTTATCACATGAAAATAAAAAAATCATGCTTGTGGGCGATTTTAATTCTAGAACTTCTAAAGTTGTAGATTATATTGAACCCGATGAAAATTTATATGACATTTTAGACATTGCTGAAAACAATTTGATCATCGACAATATGTTTTCTTTCCAGAGATTAGTTCAACATGATATCCCCCTCTCAAGATGTACCCAAGATAAAGGACGTATTAATAACTATGGGTCAAAACTAATCGAAATGTGCAAACGATGCTCTTTATTTATCGCAAATGGACGAGTTTCTTGTGATAAGTATATAGGGAGAACTACCTGTAAAGATTCTAGTGTTGTCGATTACCTTATATTGACTGCTGATTTGTTCCCGTTAATAACATATTTTGAAATTAATGATTTTAACCCACTCTTTTCAGACGTGCATAATCTAATAAATTTCTCGTGTATGTTTCCGGGAAAAAAAAATATTAACGAAAAAGAAAGTCTTTCAGAGGGAGACTATATCAGATGGGATTACATGAAATCGGCAAATTTTTCACAAGAAGTGAAAAACAACTTACATAGTATTAATATAAATCTAAATAATGTTTTACTTAGTGATACTATCACCAAAGAACAGGTTAATGGTCTAGTGACCGACATATCTACTGTGTTAACAAATAGCGCCACTAATACAATAGGTGTGTCGCACCGTCGTAAAAATAAGTACAAAAATGTAAATAAGCCATGGTTTAACCACGATTGTAAACTTGCTAGAAACGCCTTTAATAAATATAAAATTAGATATAAATTTAACAAGTTAACGGAAACCAAGCACACGATGAATAAAAAAGGGAGAGAATACAGAAAACAACTAAGGAAAAATTACAAAAAATATCAAGAGAAATGCACAAAAGAATTAAGAGAGAATTCCAAACGAGACCCTAAAGCATTCTGGAAAACACTTAATAAATTTTCACAAAATAAAAATACTACACCAGACATACCTATTGACGACCTATATGACTATTTTAAGAAACTTAATTCACTCGAAGAGGACAGTAATAATGACGAGGTTGATAACGACAGTTTTGATAATGATGATGACGTCAACAATACATTGAATGTACCAATTACTGAATCAGAAATACAAAAAGCTATTAAATCATTAAAAAATAATAAAGCGTCCGGCCCGGACCGCGTTTTAAATGAATATCTGAAAAATTCCCCACCGGAAATGACCACAGTCTATTGTAAATTGTTCAATATAATATTAGACACGGGAATTATTCCGGAAAGTTGGAGTGTCGGCATTATCAAACCAATATACAAAAATAAGGGAAGTCCAGAAGACCCTGATAATTATAGAGCTATCACTTTAATTAGTTGTCTTGGTAAACTATTTACTTCAATCATCAATACCCGTCTTAATGAATATGAAAAACAAATTGATTTAATATCTCGAAGTCAAGCAGGGTTCAGAAAAGGTCATTCAACTATAGACAACGTTTTTATTATGCATATTCTCATTTCTATATATCTTTCAAGTGGCAAAAAGCTATACTGTACCTTTATCGATTTTAAAAAGGCATTTGATACCGTCTGGAGAGCAGGTCTGTGGCAAAAATTACATAGCAGCAATATAAACGGGAAATGTTTCAAAGTTATCTATAACATGTATAATAATATTAAATCCTGTGTTCAATTCAACTCGAAAACGTCAGATTTTTTCCC